TTATACCCCGTTCGCACCGAGCATTTCGATCTAGATTGTGACTAAGGTCGGAGAGTGTTCCGTGGTGCGAACGCTCTCGACCGTTTCAATCTAGACTGAAACGAGATTCAATCGCGATCGACTGGAGAGAGTTCCCTCTCTCTCTTATTCTACACCCTTGGTTCATATGGAGATTATAGCCTTAAATGCTTTTTCTCCGAAAGACGAGTTATTGATCGCTATGCGACCGAAGAGCCGGCCGTATCTAACGGCTTATACGCACGCGCGGGAAATAATGCCTTCCGGGAGGACTTTTAAGGGGAACTGGCCTCCTATTCAGTCGTTATTGGCAAGGAGAAAACCCGGAAAACTCCTTGCAGCCAGCCTGTCCGATCGCGGCGCGAACCCTGGAGAGAGTTCTCGAAACTAAATCCAGTCATAAGAGAGATCCCACAATCTCACGCGCGCGAGAAAATACAAGATGGCTGCGGAACACGTGTCGGGCTATCGACAGAAAAATAAAAAAGACAGCTGGAGAGACGACGACATCTGTCTATTATTAGATGTACGGCAAGAAAAAGTATTTATTTCAAACCAAAACTTCCATTTTGTTTGTTGGTGTTTGTGACTTACCGCGTAGTTACGTCAGTTTTATGATCGCGTGTAATAGCCATGTTCTTCTCGAGCCGACTGCCTGTGCAAACAGCACGACGTTCGACTAGCGATAGTCACAATCCAGATTGTAGGTAAATCGAGATCGAAGTGAGTCGTGGATTGTGTGCGAACGTAGTATTAGGCTCGAGTCATAAGACTCCACTAGCGATCGAGGCCAAGACGAGTCTTTCGGGATCCCAGTACCCGTCGCCTCTCGCCGCTAGGCCCCCCGCCACGTCCAGGCTCGGTTCCCTATCTGGGGGGATTTAAATAGGCACTGAGACATCTGAAAGGGAAGTTATGTCTGTTGAAGAGTAAATCATCCAGAAAATATGCCAAAAGAAAAGTTTAAAAAATGGATGGCAGATGACAAAGAAACTCCAATGTCTGCTACGTGTATAATGACATCATAGGAAATATGCCAAATTATTACCAAAGAAGCCCTGGAGAATTATCTGATAAAACTGAAGAAAATCAACATGAAAATAGTTTAGATCCTCTGACAGATGTTCAGATGCAAGAATCTGAGTAATTCGAAGTGGCATATAATAGCCTATAACTTAAA